ACAATGTGCGCACATGTTAAAAAGTGCAAAGCACAAAGGGAAGAGAAATTGATGCGTAGTGTATTATATCTGTGCAACAGTTATTGAGCCTTTCTTTTAACAGTTTTAAATTTCAGTTACTGTGCAAGTTAAAAACAATTTATAGTCTTTTCTACGCCCGTGTTTTGTTCTCACAGACACCCGGTAGCAAGTAACAAAACATTAAACTCCGGTAAGAATATAAAGTCCTCTTTGCAAAATCATAGACATGTATTTACAAATCAAGTATAATGGGAACACAGAATGATCTTGGAGAGAGATTTATCGAGCTGAATGCTGTAACCGAACGTGACCAGAGTTTAAACTTTAAAGGCTGAACGAATGACTGACAGCCACAGCGGAGAAAAGTTAATGTAAGGACTTAAATATTCATATGTAGCTCACATTAAGCTGGCTTCAGAAGTAACACAGACTAATTCGCACAATCGAGAGAAAATTTTTTTTTTTAAATCTCGGATTAGATCGGCTCTCTCTGACCGATACCCGATCCAAGAATAATGGCAGCATCGGAGCCGATACCCGATATGAATATCGGATCGGCGCATCCCTAGTTTTTGCTTCAAATTTTGAAATTATACAATCTAATTGCAATCTAAATAACATGTATTTAGCATCTTTGTTTGGATCGTGATTAAAATGCAGCGGCTACCTCTGATTTTAAATGGAAAAAGCACAGCCAAAGCATTAGTTTATTTATATGAAGAGATTTATTTTATTTGTATTATTTAATTATTTGATTTGGGTTTTGTTTTAAAATTTCAAGTTAGTTTTATTATTTGACATATTTCAATTTTATAATTCAATTTCAGCTTGTGCTTGTAGCTTGTGCTGAACCATGTTACGTGGGCAGATAATACTGTTTCCTTCCTCGTCTGACAGGGTGTGGTTCATCAACAGCAAGTTTCTGTTCCCTCAGGCATTTCAGTAAGAGTTCATTTATTTCGTCCTCGAGTCAGGGAATACCTTGGGTAGCCACGCCTGTAATATAAATCCCACAACTTTCTGACAACTCCTTTAAATCTTAGTTTTTCCATATTTGCATTAGCCGATCAGTGGTTTAGATATGCAAATTGGAGCCAATTCATCAGCCATGCAAACAGGCAATAAGAATGAATGAGGACAGCGACTTTCAAGCTTTAAATCAGGATATGGAAGCACAAATAAAATATAATAAAAGTGAATTTACAGTGAGATAACAGCACGAGTCATTTAGGCCACTTTTATGACACTTTGGGTGCTCTTTGAAGCTTGAAGGTTTCAGTGTCCATTGATTGGAATTAAAACGTTCATCAGAAATTTGTGCACAGAGGCTAAAGTAGTCAACGGGTTTTGGATGACATGAGAATGAATAAATGAAAGGACTCTAACAGCCTGGTGAGCCACGGGCCACTCGGAATGCCATTTGCTACAGGGAATACAGCAGGGGGATGACACCACCTAAATCCTCTTCCTGCTCCAGGGTCAATGAGGGCAATTGTGATGGAATTCCAGCTAGGATTTTGCTGCCTTTCATAACAGTGACATAAGATGAAAGTGTATGAGAATCTCTGCCATTGCTATCAGCTGCAATGCTTAAAACATCAGCGGACTATTTTGCAATCAGGTCTAACATGAAAGTGACATAAAACTGACTTTTTCAGATAGCAGTTACTGTATTTAAAAAAAAAAAAAAAGTATTTTATTGTGAATTTAAGTTAAGTCTGTAAAACCTCAAATGTTGCTACCATATTTTTTACGGTGAAGTTCTGGCAACCACAGCTGCCGGTATTTTACCGTAAATGTCACAGGTTTTTTTTTACAGTGTTGTTACTGTTCACCATTGCAAAAAACAAACAAAGTGAAACAGCAGCAATGTGTTTTTCTTGAACCTCGACTTTGGTGGGAACAGTGTTTCTTTCCTCAGTGTCTTGTGACTCCAGCATATCTGAGCAGCCATTGACTGCTCATGCTTGTCTCGTTACATGAACTGTACCGTCAGCAAGTATATGTATATATCATCCATCTGTCTGTCTGGTGAAGTGTCAGTCAAAGAAACCCTAAAAAGACTATTATATGTTGTTCTGAACACATAAAGTATATATTGAGATAAATACTGACTATTTGATGCTTGATCCAGTATATTCAATGTTTAAAGCACTACATTTGAGAGGTGAAAAAGAGTGGCATTTGGCACACACAAATGAGTGCGTCAGGCGATTCAATCCCCAGACACACATTGGATCATAATCTCACGCTCTGTCACACATCATTTGAAGGGCTTATGGGCTCATGAAAGCCACTGATGAAGTCTTTACTTTGGGTCACGCTTCCTCTCTATTTCCTGTCTGCACATCTCAAAAAAAAATCTCTGATTCCTCTTCTCATCTGTCAATGCCTCCTCTCTCTGTGCAAAAAGCAGTGTGAACATAAAAGTGAAATTGTATATATTTGTAAATATATATATATTTGAAAGACACTGATACTTTTTCAACAATAAATCGAAAGTGGCAACAAATACATTTATGTTGTTACAAACAATTTTTGTTTACAATAAATGCTGTTCTTTTGAACTTTCTGTTCAGCAATGAATCCTAAAAAATTGTATCATGGTTTCTTCAAAAATATCAAGCAGCTATGCAACTTTAAAAAAAAATGACCTGTTTTAAAAATGTTTTCATTAGAAATCAGTTATTTTAAAATGTAATAATATTTTACAATATTACTGTTTTTAATGTATTTTTGATCAAATTAATGCAGCCTTGGTGATCACAAGAGACTTTTTCAACAAAAACCCTGAACTTTTGGACAGTTGTATATGTAAAATACTTAGGGATTTAAAATGTTCAGTAAAAAGAAAGTAAATAAATAAAAAAAATAATGGAAAGAGAAAGAAAGAAAGAAAATGGTAAACAGGCGTATTTTTCTGCAAAAAAAAAAAAGCATCATATGACCCCTTTAAATAGTAAGTCAATTCCATGTAGAATAAAACACCTTTTTCTTAAAGACTGGTAAGACTTGACACTTCATTGCAAGTATATCATCACTTCAACATAATTTATCAAAAGTGCTAATCATTTCATAATATTTAAAACTTTAACTTGCACACAGACATCACAGTGTATTAAGTTTCAAAGATGATTTTTAATGCATCCACCCTCTTGGATCTTAACAAGATAATCCACACCTACAGGAAGTTCAGCCAACTTGTTTAAACACGTCTTGGCCACTAATCTCTCTACATTTTTCTCCGCATATGTATTGATTGAATTGGATTATTCTGCATATTTTCTTAAATGCATTTGTTCCAAGGCTTGACACTTCTAGCTCATACTGATATAAACTTTCATTTTTGCTCCGAGCAGTGAATAGAGGACAGACCAGACTGACAGTTCGAACAAATGACTTCAGCAAAGCAAGCTAAAAGTTGCCAAAAACTAAGATAAAATCACACTGGCTTTGGTTGCAAATGAAAGCGGTTAAATGTGAGCTTTATTTGTTTAGTGATCACTCACTCGCCCTCGGTTCTTCTAACGTGATCAGCAAACAAAGATTCCAAGATTCGAACGTTCCAATTTCAAATTTCAAATGAAAGATTCTAACATTCTAAACCAGCAATTTAAAATAGAAAAATCGAACATTTCATATCATTACTATTCGTTTTAATTCAAAAATTCTACAATTCAGCAACTTTCGCTTCCCACACTGTTTAAAGACAAAAGGGTTACCTAATCCTTCCATACAAATCACAGCACTACATGGCCACCCTAGCAGCATGTCAGTTCAGATATGAAATATCAGAATTTATTCAATCAATCCCCCGTTTAGAGCACTGCAGATCAGCCCATCTGGCCTGATCCACGCTGCCATGATCCCTTCGCATGGACAGATTCTTACACTAACGCACAGCAATGCAATCTTCGCTTCGTGATGCAAACATTACGTGACAGAACGAGTATGCGCCTGTTCTTACCTTCTCAGCTGTCGTAGGGAAAATATATCCAGGTCCGACTTTATTTTTGTACTAAAGACAGCTTTAGCTTTCCAGCTGCAGTCCCTGATCGCGCGAATGCTTCCTATGCTTCTGCCTCACTCAACTTGTCCAAGACTCGCCGGAAGCCACGCCTTGTTTCGTTTTCCCCGCCCCACGAAGAACGTGATTAGACAGAAGAGGCATGAGTGGCGTCAAAGGTCACCAATCACAAAACAGACTCATCCTAGCCCTGCCCACTCGGAGCGTAAACAGGTATGAGGTTCAATGTGGACGACGTGACTGCACTTGTAGAACCAGTTTGCGGGCGTCGTACATGCAGTGAAGTCAGTAAACGTTAAATGCCGTCGATTAGTAAGCTGATAGCATCATGGTGAAAGTACAATGAGGTATAAACACGAATTTTGGATATCGGTTTACTTTTTTGAACTCAACCTATATGTTGAGGTTGATTTCCACAAGATGGCACCATTATGCAGGGATGGGATGCACAAATGCATTACTTTCTGCACACCTACATCCAATAAATAAATACAGTTGGTTAATAATAAAGAATGTTCCTCCAACATTAATGTACACGAATCTGACTATACGTCAATAATGATTATTTTAAGGGCTTTGCAATGCAAATATGATTTTTTTTTAAGTATGTAAAAATACAATAATATGGTACTGTAAGCATGCCATTTTGGTCTGGTCATTACTTTCTGCACACCTACATCCAATAAATAAATACAGTTGGTTAATAATAAAGAATGTTCCTCCAACATTAATGTACACGAATCTGACTATACGTCAATAATGATTATTTTAAGGGCTTTGCAATGCAAATATGATTTTTTTTTTAAGTATGTAAAAATACAATAATATGGTACTGTAAGCATGCCATTTTGGTCTGGTTTAATAGCAACACTAGGAGTTTCTGCTCCATCCCTCTATCCACCAAGGGGTCCGTGCATTACATGAATAGCATCCTTCTCAGAAATGTTCCTACCTTTTCTTACTGAAGGTTTTCTCTCTAGTGCTTTGTCAGGTGATTTCTTCGGTGGATCAAATGCTGCTTTCATCCGTGACACTTTCACAGACTGTGTTGGATCTAAGGTCAGATCGACCTGGGCCTCAGCTGGCTTGGTCCACTCCTTCATCTTCTTCTGCAATTCAATAGTTTCCTTTATCATATCAGAAACATGTCTTTTCTGTGCACCCTGTGGTGCTTCCATGTTGGTGGTTGGGCTGCTTTCTATTGCGTGCTTTTGGTCAAGCTGGCTTGAATGTTTCTCCTGTAACACATAATTTGCTTTTGTCGACCGCTTGTTCTGCTGTTTATCTTGTTTCTCGTTAGCTTGCATGCTTATAAGGTTGCACATGGAGGAGGAATGATGCACATCTTGTGCAGCAGATGTGTTTGCTGCGTTGTCTGTTAATGCAGCTCCGGCAGCACAACCATCCCGGACCTGACCGGATACGTCTGTCGGGCTTACAGTGGAATGGGTTGACGCATTTGTTAAAACCTTCAAAAAACATTTTTCTTGAAGCTGAGAAGAACCAGACAGAGTGACTTCTGTTTTCTTGTGCACACTTGGCCTATCATCTATGCGACCTGAAGTTGTCTCCGGACCAGCAATGAGCTCAGAGATGGAACCAGTTGCAGATGTTTCCTTACGCAAGCTGAAAGTAGACTTGCCGACCTTGTCTCTCTCTGATGACGACATGTCGCCCGAATTAGCGTTTCCCACTAACCTCTGTTGTTTTGTAGGATCACTTACAAAAGAGGAACATTCTGGATCCATCTCATGTGTAGTATCCTTCACTGTCTCTGGAAGGGGTTTTATCGCTGCTTCAGCCAGAAACCATTCCAGACTTTTCTCTGTGCGTACTTTGGCCTTTGCTGAAAGAGGGGAATCCTCTTTTTCATTTGTTTGCATAACTTGAACATCAGATTTACAAGGGGGGTTCGAATCTGTAATGTCTTCAGAGAATGCAATACATTTCTCATCTTCATAGCTTTGTAGCCGTGGTTTGTTTTCACCCAGCATACATACACTGGCAATATTAGATGTCACAAAACAACCCTCTTCCGTTTCTGTTCCACGCAGAGAAAGATCTTTTATCTTGGTTTTCTTTGCATGGGAATGATAGGGACCCTTTGAAGCAGATTCCAGATTTTCTCTTTCTTCACTCTCTCTCATGCCATCTTTATTTTTATGACCTCCAGCGGGTGATCTCCCAAGTGAAGGTTCCTTGGTCCAAGGGCTCTCTGAGTCTGACACATTAAATTGCCTTTCTTTCTGAAGCTCGTCCTGTGGGAATTCGCCCGCAGATATTTGGCGATGGCTCTCTGAGTGACCCCGAGGTGACTTGGATGCCACTTCTAAGGCACTGAGGTCCTCTGGGCTCAGACTCACAGCTTTGCTTTGTAAATCCGCACCTGCCAGAGATGAACTAGTAAATCTGGTCTTTATGACATCATCTGTTGGCTGACGCCCCGTAACGTTTTCTCTGGCTCTGCAGACATCCTTCATCGACCGCTCCTGGGTTTCTGCATTCATCAGGGACGAGCGTTCGGCGCTGGAGGTTTCTGGTTCTCTGGCTCCGTAGACATCCTTCACTGACCACCCTTGGGTTTCGACGTTCTTCGTTTCTGTTACAACCTTATCTGGATTCTCTGGCAGCTTCTTCTGTATTTCTTCGTTGCTGTGCTCAATTGCCTCAGTGATGTCCTTTGATGTTTCCGCTTGTGATGTTGTGGGCTTGTTAATCGGCCTCTTGTTTTGCGATTCAGTCATGCTGGTCTTCAACTTGACGTTTTCTGTATTGACTAACGCTTGGTCTTGAACTGTGAAGTGAACATTTGTGTTGGCGTCCCCACCACGTGGTTTTGAAACGTCCTTCCCTTCCAGAATCTCCAAGGTAGGCCCTGTAGTATCACAGGTGGCTTCAAAATCGAGTTTTCTGTCCCCTTCCTGGCTCTTTAGCTTGTCGTCATCTCCACAGACAGACTCCATTTCGTTCTTTGCATGTGAAGCGCACTTCTTACTCCTGTTTTCTCCTTTGCAACCGCTTTCAACTTTGTCTTTTGCAGGAAGGTCACACCTAAAGTTCCCCTGATGGTCTTCTAGTGTACTCTCCAAGTCTTTTCTCTCGTGGTCTGGTTCACTGTCAGACTGTGTGATTCCATTCAGCTGCTGTGGAGCCAGCGGTCCAGCCCTGCCTTCCTCACTACTCTTTCTTCCTCCCTCTTTCCCGCAATCCCCTCCCTCCGCAGCCCCCCCATCCGTGGGAGCGCACACCTTATCATGATAATCCAAACCATGCATTGGTGTAGGTGATGGTGACTCCCTGCCTGGGCCTCCATCCAACCCTCCACCGGCTGTGTTCTCGACACCATGAGTTTCAATGGTTAGATTTCCTTCCTCTTTGGCCCCCCCGGGGTCTGGGCTTGGTCCCTTTTCCTCTGGTCCTGCAGAGCTGTTGTCCTGCCCTAGCTCCCCCTCCTTGCCCTGGTTTTGTCCCATTCTGTGGAAAACAGTGAGAGAGATGTTATTGGCAGTGTGTTGTTGCAGACCACACATGACTCTGGCATGCAGGTTATGCCAGTGTTTATCTGAAATTCTTCCACACTTTCACTCCCCTGTACACAGTGTGATGCTCACTAACTGTCTTTTTCACTTATCTGTTTCTGCTTGTCATTTCGGATGAGCTCATTCTTATAATCACAGTCAAATCTGACTTGTTCTGTTTGCTTTACCTGATCTTTTGCTCTTGTCTTCTTACTTTATGGAAAGTCTCTTAGTTTCTGGAATTATCTACTAAAAAGCTCAAAGTGCAGGTTGACAGGGTTATTAGAGTTAAATAAAACTAAAACTCAAAACATTTCTATTACTATTAATAAACATTAACTGATATAAATTATTTTATCATATATATCAAATATAAAAAACCTTAAAGTTATTTATTTTAGCTAGTTGCCAAAGTAACATTTCATTATTTTCATTTAGTTTAACTTGATGTACTAAAATATAAAACTAAAACTGAAATAAAAATTCAAATTCAAAGTAACATCACAAAACACAAAACTCGTCCCGGGTTCGAGTCCCGGCTCGTGGACCTTTCCCGATCCCTTCCCCCCTTCTCTCCCTGTCTCACTACTATCCTATCAATAAAAGGCAAAAACGCCAAAAAATTTATCTTTAAAATGAAAATAGAAAACAAAATTAAAAACAAATTCAAAATGTTCAAATAGAATAAAACTATAAAGCTAGTTGCCAAAGCAACATTTCATTATTTTCATTTAGTTTAACTTGATGTACTAAAATATAAAACTAAAACTGAATTAAAAATTCAAATTCAAAGTAACATCCCCAAAAAAAAAGAAATTAAATGACAAAAATACAACCAAACCACTAAAATGTAATTTAAATCTTTAACTAATATACTGTAAAACTTTAATTAGGATTAAAATGAAAATGGAAAACAAAATTCAAAACAAATTCAAAATGTTCAAAAAGAATAAAACTATATAAAGTATATATTGAGATAAATACTGACTATTTGATGCTTGATCCAGTATATTCAATGTTTAAAGCACTACATTTGAGAGGTGAAAAAGAGTGGCATTTGGCACACACAAATGAGTGCGTCAGGCGATTCAATCCCCAGACACACATTGGATCATAATCTCACGCTCTGTCACACATCATTTGAAGGGCTTATGGGCTCATGAAAGCCACTGATGAAGTCTTTACTTTGGGTCACGCTTCCTCTCTATTTCCTGTCTGCACATCTCAAAAAAAAATCTCTGATTCCTCTTCTCATCTGTCAATGCCTCCTCTCTCTGTGCAAAAAGCAGTGTGAACATAAAAGTGAAATTGTATATATTTGTAAATATATATATATTTGAAAGACACTGATACTTTTTCAACAATAAATCGAAAGTGGCAACAAATACATTTATGTTGTTACAAACAATTTTTGTTTACAATGGAAAAAAAAAAAAAAAAAGAAAATGGAAAACAGGCGTATTTTTCTGCAAAAAAAAAAAAAAATATATATATATATATATATTACAATTTTGAGAAATAGGGCTAATAGTGAAACAACAACAAAAAAATTTAAAACAAATTTTATCTTTCATTGCATATAAATATTGAATCTATTAAATACTGTCACTAATTTAAGCGTCCTGTTATTTTATGATTCATGAGGACACACATGGTACACATGACATTTTCTGAGAAATATCTGCTTAAATTTGAAGTGCAGCTAGAATTTAGTCTCGAAGTAACATGTAGAACATATGCATACATTTACAGTAGGAGTAATGCAGAAGGCCTCTACTGTAAACACATACAAAATATAAGTCTCTAAAGTGACAATGTGTTTCCTGTTCATCTGCATTGACAGCCCTCACAAACACGTTTACAGGAACTCGCACGCAGAACTGGAGGCTTCCTCGTCATCTGACAGAGTTCAATGTCACAGGTTTTTTTTTACAGTGTTGTTACTGTTCACCATTGCAAAAAACGAACAAAGTGAAACAGCAGCAATGTGTTTTTCTTGAACCTCGACTTTGGTGGGAACAGTGTTTCTTTCCTCAGTGTCTTGTGACTCCAGCATATCTGAGCAGCCATTGACTGCTCATGCTTGTCTCGTTACATGAACTGTACCGTCAGCAAGAACACCGGGAATTAGAGTCATGAAATTTTGCAAGAAGATCTCTAAAGCACTGTCAATCACAGTCCTCACAGAATCTGCAGGTTCACACCTACATTCTAAAAATATCAAAGAAATGTATAAATCATCCATCTGTCTGTCTGGTGAATTGTCAGTCAAAGAAACCCTAAAAAGACTATTATATGTTGTTCTGAACACAAAGTATATTTTGAGATAAATACTGACTATTTGATGCTTGATCCAGTATATTCAATGTTTAAAGCACTACATTTGAGAGGTGAAAAAGAGTGGCATTTGGCACACACAAATGAGTGCGTCAGGCGATTCAATCCCCAGACACACACTGGATCGTAATCTCACGCTCTGTCACACATCATTTGAAGGGCTTATGGGCTCATGAAAGCCACTGATGAAGTCTTTACTTTGGGTCACGCTTCCTCTCTATTTCCTGTCTGCACATCTCAAAAAAAAATCTCTGATTCCTCTTCTCATCTGTCAATGCCTCCTCTCTCTGTGCAAAAAGCAGTGTGAACATAAAAGTGAAATTGTATATATTTGTAAATATATATATATTTGAAAGACACTGATACTTTTTCAACAATAAATCGAAAGTGGCAACAAATACATTTATGTTGTTACAAACAATTTTTGTTTACAATAAATGCTGTTCTTTTGAACTTTCTGTTCAGCAATGAATCCTAAAAAATTGTATCATGGTTTCTTCAAAAATATCAAGCAGCTATGCAACTTTAAAAAAAAATGACCTGTTTTAAAAATGTTTTCATTAGAAATCAGTTATTTTAAAATGTAATAATATTTTACAATATTACTGTTTTTAATGTATTTTTGATCAAATTAATGCAGCCTTGGTGATCACAAGAGACTTTTTCAACAAAAACCCTGAACTTTTGGACAGTTGTATATGTAAAATACTTAGGGATTTAAAATGTTCAGTAAAAAGAAAGTAAATAAATAAAAAAAATAATGGAAAGAGAAAGAAAGAAAGAAAATGGTAAACAGGCGTATTTTTCTGCAAAAAAAAAAAAAAATATATATATATATATATATTACAATTTTGAGAAATAGGGCTAATAGTGAAACAACAACAAAAAATTTAAAACAAATTTGATCTTTCATTGCATATAAATATTGAATCTATTAAATACTGTCACTAATTTAAGCGTCCTGTTATTTTATGATTCATGAGGACACACATGGTACACATGACATTTTCTGAGAAATATCTGCTTAAATTTGAAGTGCAGCTAGAATTTAGTCTCGAAGTAACATGTAGAACATATGCATACATTTACAGTAGGAGTAATGCAGAAGGCCTCTACTGTAAACACATACAAAATATAAGTCTCTAAAGTGACAATGTGTTTCCTGTTCATCTGCATTGACAGCCCTCACAAACACGTTTACAGGAACTCGCACGCAGAACTGGAGGCTTCCTCGTCATCTGACAGAGTTCAGCAAAGTTGAAACGTGGCTATACAGTGATGTTTTCAACCCTGTCCTGGGACAGACTAGAACAGACGATTCATTTGCTCATATTACATTGTCTCGTAGCTCAAAATGAAAACTTCCTCCAGGGTTTATCGGTGTAAGGTCTCTGGTTTATATATCAGACAGTTGTTGTTAAATGGGATAGTAGTAGCATTAATAATTTATTAGACTTTTAACAGTTCCTCTTTAAATTCTCTGCAAAGTGTGTGCAGACAGGAACAGGATTCCCCGTGCAAGACCACCCCATCCTAAACCTCCACAACAGCACCATTGTGCTGCATCCATCACCCTGACACTTAAAGCAAGTCACTTGATTTCCTTGTGGCTCACTGCCTCTCCCATGTACGCAGAATCCAAATAACATGAACAACAACTATAAGAAACATCTCTCCACTGTCTCAGAAAGCTTATTGTCTCAGTCGACAAGTGTTCAGATCCAAATCCAAGTAACTATAGATTCTATTCACGGCACACCACAGAATCAGCTTCTAAGGTAACAGTGTGTCTCAAGTAAAGAAGTGGATACTCACCGATACTCCTGTGACTGCACTGTAACTCCAGGACAAGACCACTCTTTGTTGGATGGATGGATGTTCTGGGTGAGTTCTGCTGGCAAATGGGCTTTTATTACTCTTTTGTGATGTCACAGTCACATTTGCCTAATGCAGTAAGTTAGTCCTCTCCCTGTATAGAAGCACAACAACTTAGGCAATTAGACGTTTAAAGGACAGTTCACCCAAAAAATTTATTTTTGCCTTCGTTTGTTCATCTTGTATGATCTCCTTAGCACTGAACAACAAAAAAGGAGATGTTAAGCAGAATGTCCACACTGCTATTTTCCATACCATAAAAGTGGATGGACACCAGGGAGTCCAAAAATGAGAAAAAGAGTCATAAAATGAGAGTCATGGTTCATGATACACTCTTTCTTGGCATTTATGGTTCCATGAAGGACCTTTAACATCTATTAAACCTTTCCATTTCACAAAAAATGGTTCCTCATTGAAAGGTTCTTTGGGGAACCAAAACGGTTCTTCTATGGCATGGCTGCAGAAATGCTCTTTTGGAATCTAATTTTTGATAACAACAAATTATGTCATTGACAAATGTCATGAACGAGATTTGACAGCTATGTCAAAGACTTTAAGAAAATAACGACTTCAGTTCCGGTCCATTTCTAACACGAGATCATATGATTTCAACAGACTTTAAATAGTTTTAAAGGAGACCTTTCATGCCCCTTTTTACGATATGTTATATAAGAATCAGTTGTCACCAGAATGCGTCTGTGAAATGTCAGCTCAAAATACCCCACAGATCATTTATTATATCAT